CCATTCGAGGTCCTCGAGCGAATGGGCGAGGCCGCATACCGGTTGGCGTTGCCACCCGAGCTTTCGGGTGTGCACAATGTCTTCCACGTTTCGATGCTGAAGGATTACGTGTATGACCCAGCGCACATGTTGAGCTACAGTGAGCTTGACGTCGGGCAGGACCTGACGTACGAGGTGCAGCCGTTTGCTATTCTGGACCGAAAGGTTCAGCATCTGAGGAGCAGAGATGTAGCGCTCGTTCGAGTCCAGTGGACTCGCCACGGCGAGACCGAGGCCACGTGGGAGCGAGAGGAGGACATTCGAGCTCGCTATCCATATTTCCAGTTCTGATTAGTAGTATCGTATTATGTATTTTCAGTTTCTAGTCTTAGTCGAGTTGGCCTTATGATTAGTTTTGTCATTTCCGGGGACGGAAATGTTTTAAGGAGGATAGATTGTAACACCCCGGAATAATATTATATTAATAGCTCGACTTATTTATCGGTATTAGTATTATTTTAATTATGCAGAGTATTATTAATATTAATTGCATAATTTATTTATTACTAAGCCCATGTAGTATTTTAAAATCGAGCCTAGTAGCGATTATTTATCCGAGCCCAACATGTAAAAATCGAGCCCAATTAATTAGGCCCGATTTTTTAGCCCAACACCCAACAAAAACCCTAAGCTCCCTACTACTATATAAAGATGTCTCCTAACCACCAACAACATACAAAACCCTAGCCACTTTTCACTATTCATCATCTCCCTCACTACACCATCCCTAATTCAAGATCCAAAGCAAAGAAACACCACACTTCAAGATCTAGTTTTTTTTTTTCTTTCTTCTCAATCAAGAACAATCTTAGAATACCACAATGGCTTGACGAATATCTGACTACCGTGACCCATTTTCCGGCCACCCGCATTTTCCGACCAAAAGCCCGCATTTTCCGACCAAAAGCCGCAGCAAGCCGTCCAGCCCGCAGCTCCTCCACCTCAGCCCGCAACAGTTTCCCCGGCGAGGCCCAGTTTCCGAAGAGCGCGACCACTGCTCGTCCTCATCCCTAGATTTCCGGCGACCTCACAGCAGCCCGCGACCCGAACTCCGACCCGCGCGTCCCGACGAGCCACCAGCAGCTCGTCCCAGCTCCACTCCACCCCAGCTCGAGTCCATCATTACGCCGCCGGATCTGAGCCACTGGCCGCCGTCGTAGCCCAGCCTCCTGCCGGCGAACACAGACGCGTCGTCTTCAGCCCATCCCAGCTCCTTCGTCGCGAGCTTGACCTCAGTCCGCGACCCGACCACGAGCCCAGCACAGCCCGACCCAGCTGCTGCAACCCTCAGTCCAGATCCGTGGGTTTGACTGGGTCAACAGCATCCCTCAGCTCCCAAAATCCGGTCCAAACAGCTCCTAGTTGGACCGGTCCAGCCCGACCGGCTTCTTCTCCGTTTTTCTTCCATTTTCTAGTCCGATCCGCTCTTTTCCGATCTCGTGAGGTATAATATCTAAAGACTTAAAAGATATGGGGTAAATTGATGATAAAAACGAGCTAAGAATTAATTGAGATGTTGTTTTGAGTTGGATCGGTATACACGAGCTTAAAGCGAGTAAATTGATATTTTCGATAAGCGCGTTAAAAATGTCGAAAAAAATATGATAAAATTCGTATAGCTGACTTGAGGCCTAGGTTTTAATTTCGTAAATTTTGGTGCTCGTTTAGTATGTTAACTGGATTTTTGAATATGTAACTAAAATGCCCGATTTATGAGAAATATGATAAGGCCTCGGAATTCGATGAAACTTTCACGAAAAATCCTGTAAATGCTAAATATGTCATGGTTAAAATTTCATAATTTTTAGAGGTTGTTTGGCAT